AACCATTTGTTAACAACTCAGCGTATTTAAATTCACGATTCCTTCGCGTTGATAAAGATCGCTTTGGTTTACCTTGTGCTCTCGATTGCGATTTTCGCGCGGAAGCGTCGGCTGTGTTGGGTATTGCTACTGCAAAAGAGAACAATGGAACAATTCCTCTAACGAAATGATCAACTGTGCGTTGTAGTACAAGTATCGTTGTTGAAGCGGGAAGCTCAAAAAAACGCAAACTTGCGTAGATTGTGGAGTTAGACTTGCATTTCAGAATTTGCCGATGCACTCATCGTGATTTTTGAGACATTTTCTGCAGAGACAACTCTTACTTTTGCACTAGCAAAAGTTTACAAGAGGCCCACTGCACGAGCGCGTTCAGGCGGCACGTCGAGCTGCAAGTCAGGCGGCCTGGCGAGCAGCGCGGCATTTGAACGCGCTTTTACTAGAAAAAATCCATGTCCGAAAGTTGGAGCAACTTCGGAATGTCAACAAGGCTGGAAAGCAGGGAAAAGTCGGGAGGGAAAATTTTAATTAAAAGTGTCAGGGGAAAAGTGAAATGCCAAGACGTTAAATTAAAAGACGGAATGCGTCTCTCTCGTGCTCGATTGTCTCTATCTTTTGAGTCTCACGACCCTCCTCGTCGGGAGGCCCATTTCAGCAAACTATTTTTATTGGCGGATCCAGCAATCGGCAACATTGTTTTTTCTCCATTTAAACCTACGGAAATTTATCGATTCTTGGAGGGGCTAGGAATCGATTATTTAGCATAGGTTTAAATGGAGGGAATCCGGCGTTGCCAAATTGCTGGATCTGTCTCTTGACTATTTTTTGGAGGGAAACTGAGAATTTCCAGGTCATTTTAAAAATTACAACGCTATACATTTCTCATTTTTATGCACTTCGGTAGTCAACCTTTTTTATCAGGGAAAGTTTGGCTGAGTCGGTAAATCTTCTCCTGATACTAACGTTTATTCCCCTCCACGCAATTGTTCTCGCGACTCTGAAATCTGGAGATGATCATTCGAGCATAAAATTGGGTTTCTGACACCTTGAAATATCCGTAATTTTAATTAAATTTTCTTCTAATTATCAAGGCCTTTTGGTTCGATTCCTTGATCAGTGTGGCAAATCGTATCTTGCATCGTGAGATAGGGCATTTTCCCACAAAATTAGAACTTTGGCCATGAGATTAGTAGTGTGGTTCAGTGGCGTGGCGTGCCTTGCGATATATCGATTGATCTACCATTTAAATCTAGGGAAAAGGATCGTTAAATAGGGTGTTCGCAACGAACTCCTTAATAATCGATTTTTTACCATAGCTTCAAATGTGGAAATGTCGATAATCAATCATCCATGCCTCGCCTCTGGTATGGTTTCGATGCGAAAACGCTGGATCGCGGAAAACGGTTGGAGTTTTAGAACTTTCTGCTCCCCCGAGCAAAAGTCCGGGTATAAAAACTGATTCCGAGCATCGAAATCAAATTCGCTTGAAATTCGCATCAAATAAAGAATCGAAATCGACTATTCAAGAGTCTGTAACACAGGATCCAATCAGGAACGGATTCCGCTTGGCCTGACTTTCATTTCGAATGGGCTATCCTGTCATGCTCAGGATAAACGCCGTATGAACTTTTGAGTGTTGCCAAAATCCCTCGTAAAACGCTCATTTCGGAAGGGAGTTATGAATATTTTCTCTTGGGATTTTTAAATGTTTTGGAATAAATTGCAAATAAAATCGTGTGAAAAATCGATGGAAAACTATTCTCAAATTTTCCCCAAAATTCGTGGTTTGTCGAAGGAAATTTTGCAACATCTGAAAGCTCATACGCCGTTTTCCTTCGCACGGGAGTATTATCTTGGCGCGCTTCGCTCGGATCGGGCTGTCGCACAGTAGATCGAGTCAATTAAAGAGGTCGCACATGAAATTTTTGACTAAAATTGCAAATTTTGATGTTTATTTCGTCACACTTTAAATTTCAAGAGGTGCTTTTTAAAGAAAAATTCACGAGAAAACCGATGAAACCACTCTTAGAACCTCAAAGCTTTGTATAAACGGAGCTATAAGCGTTTAAAGTTTCCAAATTTGGTTCGACCTCCCCCATCGCGACTCGATCCACTGTGTGTCGCACCCCGTAAAAATCCGCTCAGTTTCCTGTTGTCCCGGGATCAAGCTTCAATTAGCAGGAGGCGAGAGAGCGGACGGGAAGGGAGGGGGAGAATGTCGTCGAGCGATTGCAGGAGGTAGGCGGGGAGAGGGGGGGGGGTTTAGCGGAAAGGGGTGAGGGAAAAGCTCTGCCCCCGAAAATGAACAAACAGCTTTGTCGGACGTGAAGTTGGCGGAATTCAAACTCACTCGAGCCGAACTAAGCGCGCCCGGCACAAAAGTCCGCCAATTAAACGCGCTACAAATAATAACACTGCCGTGCTAAGGAAAAACGCCGTATGAACCTTCAGGCGTTGGCAAATGCCCTTTGATAAATCACAAATTTTCTGGTTAACTTATGAATATTTTTCTTCCAATTTTTTAGATAATTTTGTTCGCAATTTCACCTGAAGTCCCTGAAAATTTCAAGGAACAATATTCACAATGGTCCGCAAAAATAAACATTTTATCGAAGGAAATTTGGCAACTCTCGAATGTTCATACGGCGTTCTTCCTTAGCACGGCAGAAGAGCCTCTGCTACTCCGTTGTGTGCGTTATCGACACGTTGGTGTTAGTGTGGTGCACACTCCTGTGGAGTGTCTTCATAGGGATGTATGGAAATCATGTTATCAATTTCTGATAGGCTTACATTAAGGGTCGTACGTATTCACAGTCGTTCCTGAAACAGTTCCTTTACTTAGGAAACCCGACATGAGGGGCTTGGAGGACAAGGCGCATAAGTGCAGTTTTTGAAAAAATAGGGACATTATGATGTCAAGTAAAAATTGGCTTAATACGTGTTCTGTGGAAAATTCGCTCCCAAATTTCAATTTTTAAGCATCATAAAGTCAGTTTGAACTTACTTCCCGCCATGAGGATCCGTGTAATTTCGTAACTTCAAACAGGTATTTCTTGAAGTAGCAAAAACCGCTTTTATCCTCCTTATCCTCCAAGCCCCTCATTTGTGGTCGCAGTCAGAATTTTATTCTGTGGACAAGGGAGGTTTAAGCAGATCATCAACAAAGCAATGAAAAGCACAATTCAGTACGATTCAATCGTATAACTTTAGAAGTAGGCCCTTGCATTTCAAGGCATTACAGTGATGATTTGCCCCTGCAAAAAATAAAACAATACAGAGGTAAAAAATCCATGAGTTTAAAAACCTTATACTATCTAGGTTGTCTAATCTCGGAGACACCAAGATACCATTATAGGCCATTTCTGCCATCTTGGATTTTTGAATTTTGAAAATTCGACTGAAAAATCGACTTTTTCGATAGAAAATACCTCCTGGCACCAGTTTCTACAAAAATCGATCGTACAGAGCAGCTTATTGTAGGATCAGTCCCAGTAGCAAAAGAAACCAGTCAATTTACACACGTTAGGGCGCCTTCAATTTCGTCTGATACTGTGCAATACTTCCAAGGCGGAATAGTTGCTTGCAGCGCCTTGCACTGTGTCGCTTCGATTTGATGGTAGGAGATCATGACTACTGCTGAAATTATTACACTGTGGCGCTTGCGGAGTTACACGTTCTCTCAACACCGACAGTGAAATTACTTTCACACCGGAATTTGCGACGTTGCAAGTTTTTCACTGGCTATTTTACATGAGGGTAAACCAATCTGAACACCTTAAAATCTGCCGTGATTTTTCCGAGATACACTGAGCTATGTTATTTAAATGTTTCATTCAAGCCTATTTATATATTTTCTTTAAATGGGAAAAATATATATGAGTAGGAACCTTTGAACGAACAAAAATTGATTCGAAATTAAGAGCCCTCAAAGTAAACGGGTCCGAGGAGTTGGATAGCGTCAAAGCAAACTCATTGACAATCATTGTTCTTAAAATGTGTTATTGTTAAAACTGTCCACATTTTTTCTTCAGTATTTTTAATATATAACTAAGGAAAATTATGTTAGTACCTTGCAAGGGTCTATTTCCAGACTCACAAACTCTCAAAATGTCAAACTTTTCAAACTTTTAAGTGTGTAAATTATTTCGATGGTCAAAGTTCGAAACCACATATCTCCGTTTTCGACATAGTAGGCGTGCATTGCTCCTTTTTTTCCCTCGGTAAACGAGTGCATGTAATTTCTTGAAAATTTCCTTGATTTTTTCTCTCTGTTAGCAGAATATTCTGTAGGAATTCCGAGCTATAAAGTTAACTTGTTTCTCCTCGCAATTATAAAATATGAGCGGAAATTTTGAAACGGAGCATTGGGGTTACGTGGTTACGCTTTTTAGCCATCAATGTGTAGTTCAAAACAGGTCTTTTTGCAAACTTCAGCCAGAGCAAAAAGAAGCAACCAAAACTAGTTTGAAACTATATTTGTTGAAATATTCACAAGTACAATGTCGCACCACGTAGTGCAATACAAAAAAAAAAAAAAAAAAATCCAACTTCAACGCATAAAAAAGTGAGTCTATGCTTCCTTTCCGTCATAAGGCTCCATGTAATTTTGAAACTTCAAACACGTGTTCCTCGAATTAGCAAAAAATGCACTTATGCACAAATGCACTTTTCCTTTAAGCCCCTCAAATACATCTTCCTCTTGCTATAGCTTAAGTTTGCAACAGGCCCATTAGTAGTCTCTGGGTGCATTTTTTTACGATGTTGCACCCCTGAGACACAGAGCTCAGCTACAGAGCAACTTTGCAAGCGTTTGTGCTCGTGCCGGAATAGGCCGGGATCCGGACCTTGGCTGGAATCATCGAGAATTGATTGCTCGGGATTCTTTTGAGGGAAGCAACTTGACTTTGGCCGGCTCGTTGTCTTCCACTCCGCCCGCCCGGCCCCGGCCGAGTCGTTATTTTTTTGTCGGCTCTCAATCGACCTGCCTCTCTTTTCTGTTGCAGTCTGCAGTTTCGTCGTCCACAAAAGATGCCACGAGTTCGTGTCCTTCACCTGCCCCGGAGCTGACAAAGGCCCAGACTCCGATGTAAGTTCCTTTCTTTCTACTCCCATTAACTCAATCGCAAGTTCTTCCTCACTCTATCAACGTTTGACCTTTGTGCCATCGGGCTTTCCCATCCCTCGTGTAGCTTTCCCGGCCTACATTCTCAGCGGGCTGATTATTCAAATAGATAGACAAGGAGAAAGTGGAGCGATCCTATTGCTGGAAATGGGTGGTTGCGTTGCGCGAAGGAGGTGAGCAAGAGACTGAATAGCGGCAACCCACGAGAGACCCTATAGTTAGTTCAGCTTGTCCTGCCTTAGCCTACGAAAACTACCTATTTCAACAAATAGGATATCAATTGCTGTATGATATTTTCTCTATTGCTTTGTCTATCAATTCTATTCGTAGGAATCTTCGTTTCCCATGAGACGATAAAACGTAACTACATTCCAAAATTTCGAAATTGACTCGGAGAATTTCATATTTAACTGAAGTACAATTGTGGAATTTCTGTCCAAAATTTTACTCATTTTTGGTGTAATCAGAGAAATGTATGGGTGAAATTTACAGTCCAAAATTCCCAGCGGTTTCTTCGTGAAAATGATATTTGTAAGTGGAAATTTTGCAACGTTGAAATGAAGTTATTTTCTTTCGTCTGGGAAATTTGACGTCATTCCAATGTTCTTGCGGCTTTTTTTCTGTGTACAATTGTAATTCAAGACGACTCTGACCATATTTATTAGTAAGCAGAAAATAAATGTTCTGTGTCTCTTAGAACCAAATTTTCTTGTTGATTCAAGCAACATTTCGATTGGATCAGAGTTCTTTCCATAGTTAAGCATAATTCTAATTGATTCACTCGTAAGCTAATCGCAATACTGCAATTAAGCGTTACCCGCACTTTTAGTCGAATCAGTTGTATCTGCAAAACTGATTTAACGCCTTTGTAACTCAGAATTTAAACAAAAATGTCTGATTCTGCGATGTAATATTTATAAAATGGTCAATTAGCACAATCCAAATACATTACGCATAAACGTTTACTTTATGTCTGTATTGATCCGGAAAGGTATAGTAATTATGTTGATATCATCGATATGTGCTTCATTTTACTCAATCTGCGACTATAAAAATCGCGAAGTTATTCAAGTCTTTATATTTTACCATTTCAACTTCACCGCGGTATTTGTGGTTTAATATTCTCCATTTATAGCTCTTCATAGTTTTGTAAAAGTGTGAATACTTATTTTTATGAAAGTCTTAGGGCTGTAAGTATTGTTGCGCTATAATCCCTTTTCCTCGCACCTACGAATTAACCGGCGGTTCTAAAAGCAAAGAGTTTTTCTCCTTTTTTACGTTCTTTTGGTACCACGTAGTAAGCGCAGGTACTCCAAGCTCGGTTATGAGTCGTTGCTTCAAGGTTTAGCCAATTAGGGGCGCACAGTGGATCCAGTCAATGAGTGAGGTCGGACAAAATTTGGAAACTTCAAAACTTTATAATTTCATTGAATCAAAACTTTGAGATTTTAAAAGTGGTTCCGTTGGTTTTCTCGTGAAATTGTCTTCCAGGAGCACCCCTTAAAATTTAAACAAGCAGGAAGCTCCAACGCATTCGCGTCGGAAAGCGGCTCTGGCGACGGTAGGTAGTTGTTACGCGTTTACGGTTTCCTTGGTAACCTTTGTTTGCTATCAGCTGATGTCGAGTAGCATGACTAGGAAGCTCCAACCACGGCATTCTTCGAAAAAAGCGCGAAAACTTATAGATTTGAATTCTCAAATTTTAAACGTAAAGTACATTTTTTCCAGTGCGAGATTAAAGCACAGACCCGTTTTGAATTATTGACAGTATCACCATGATTCCAAAAATACACTACACAACATAGCATTCGCTCACAGGAAAAAGATATCAATTAAAATAAAATCAGTCCCCCCTAAAGGCCGATTCCCATCAGCCAACACGCGGTCTCTCCACTGTAACATGGTCCGTTGATACTCCCCAGCTGGGACCGTCCGGAATAGCAGCTCTAGTGCAAGCACCAGAGCCGCTAAAATGTGACGAATTAAACGTCAAAATTTGAAGTTTTAGTAAAATAATTCATGTCCGATCTCTCCTTTCGACTCAATCCACTGTGAGGCGCCCAGAGCGGGCGGATGTCGGGATGCGGAGATTTAAACGACGCTCGAATCCGAGTTTGATGTTTTCGGTTCCGGAGATGGAACGAGGAAAGTTCCCGTGAATTAACCGAACATCCGAACTTTTTTACGGCGTCCTTACGGTGTTTCGAGTTAATTAATACGGCTCCTCGTTTCGCCGGATCGCGTGAAATAAGAGTCACAAAACTTAAGTTCCGTTCCGCGACTCCCTGAACCTGCGGACGTTTTCCCCCGCGCTCAATCCGCTCGCTTTTCGTCTTTTATTGTCCTGCTGAACAGATTTTATGACTGAGAGATGAGTCTCCGTGTTTTGCAATCTCCTCAGCTTGCAGTTTGTAATTTGTAGCTCCGTGCGCTTACATCTTTAAACAAAACATTATTTCGTTGCACCTGTGGCGTAAGGGTGTATCTAGATTTTCGTATGAGCCCAAGGAGGCATGGATTTATATATAACCAGGGCTCACGTGAAAATTCAGATACGTCCTTACGCCAGAGGAGCGACTGTTCGTTGACTGACAGTTGGCTTAGAGGACAAGGCGCATAAGTGCAGTTTTTGGAGAAATTGAGGTATTAATGATTTCAAGTAAAACTAATCTTAATGCATATTCTGTGAAAAATTTCTTCCCAAATCCTAATTTTTAAGTATCAAAAAGTCAGTTTGAACTTGCTTTCCGCCATTAGGATCTATGTGATTTCGAAACTTCAAACACGTATTTCTCGAAATAGCAAAAACTGCACTTGTGCACCTTGTCCTCCAAGCCCCTCATTTCTGGCTGCAGTTAGAGTGCAGTCTTCGATTGAGATTAATTTTGCACTGAGAAAAATTACGGTTAAAATTACCATTTTAGTGGTGGTCTACATGAATTGAGAATCAGTTGTACCCGCAACCAGTAAAAGCTTATTTTTTACTAATGAATCATTTATTCACCAACGTAGAAGTAACATTACCAATATTTTTAGTTATTACTGCTATTAGTCCTTAGATGCTTAAGTCGGGTCAAATTGACCCTATGGCTTGCTAAAAACAACACTTCCCGCGGAGCCGCGGATTGTATGGAGCCGACAAAATACATTGTAAAATAAGAAACACACAAAAAAATGAAATAAAAAGGAGAACAAAATCGAGTTTCAACGCAGCCAGAGATAGGAGAGACATAATCAGACATAGTTTTGTAACTCCTCTCCCGAATTGGAGCGAATAACCTCATTGGCAGTATCGAGCGGAGCGTCAAGAGTTCACGCCTCGCACCATCGCGCCTTCAATTTTGCGGACGCAACACGGACATCCATCAAGCACGAATAGTTGTATCTCTGCGCCGTCATCAACGCGCTACCTTTTCCTTGCTCTTTTTCCATGTTTTGTCGGTTTCGTTTGTCTCGTTTGTAGTAGTGCTTCAAGGGCTACATGAGCATCACTGCCGAAGATCAGGAAGACGTATCCGACCTCGTTTTGTAACTTTTCTCCCGCATCTGAGCGACACTTCATTGGCAGTATTAGAGTGTAGCGAAGCACATACTTATTTGACCGCGGAGGACACTTTCTTCCGTCGGCCTAGCGGTGCTTTAAGAATACTTATTTTCGATAAATTTTGAAAATTTTGCGGCTGCCATGATGAAAAGAAACAGGAATCTCGGAGATATGCACCGATCGGCATGATTAACGGCAAGTTTAAACGGGAGTCAGGTTATGCCCGTTATGTGCCCGAATTTCTGCCACGGCGGAATCTGCGGCACTCGGTCGCTTTCTGTTTAAGCTGTCACGTAACTTTCATCATTGGAACCTCCTTCGAGGTCCCTTTCTTTTTTCTCGAAAAAAGGATTTTTTTCTCATTGGAAGTCTGACATCGTGCTTTACTCTAATTATATGGTTTTTCGAGGGTTATTATTTTAGGGTAGATTTGTGCGACTCATGCAAAAACGGCCAATGTCCAACGCTATTCACTTAAAATTACTCAGCACTGGGTGGGAGTGGGGAAGGGAAATAGTTGTGTGCCTCCTCTTCAACTCCCTACTAACATACATATCGACGGTGAAACTACCAAACCACGTATCTCGGTTTGCGACGTCGCAGACTTCCTGTCATACTTCATTTTTTAAATGAAAAACTACTTAACGTCCAGTCTTGAAAATTTCTGTGAAAATTTCAAGGAATGATATTGATTTGGTCTACTTCAAAAAAATAAAATGCGAGCGTAGATTTTTAAACACCGCAAACGAGATACGTGGTTTGGTAGTTTCACCGTCGATATTCTTTGTCCTCCTTCAAAACGTCAATTTTAAGGCTAGTATGTTGACAAGTTTGTTGACTATTGACAAGTTTCATGTACTAGTGATAATCTATATAGAAGTGAATGTGACAATACAATGTACTCTTGACAAGTATGTTGAGCCACAATATAGCAATCGCATTTCATGGTTAACATTCGCATTTCTGGGCATTGGTTGGTTGCATTTATTGGTTAGCCTTTGGATACGCTAATTTAAATAAAATAAAGTAACAACAAGGCCTCCACAGTTTCTTGCAGTTTACCAAAAATTGGTTTTTCTAGACATCGGATGTTTTCGCACGAGTCGATTCAATAGCAAAATGTAGTCAATTTCACACGCGTTTAACCTGAAGGAAGTGATAATTTTTCAGCTTTATCTGACAGCAATGGTCGAGGTGCGAGGGGCTGAAGAGGTGTGCTTAACTGTGCCGCCGCGGCAGAAGTTAATTCGCTTCCAGTGTCTTTAATAGCCGGAGGATTTACAAGTCGTAAAAATAAAACCCGCCCTAATCTTTCAAGTGTTTTTCTTCCCCGATTCTCTCAGCTCTGAGTTTACGTCCCATCGCTTCGCAAGGGAATATTTGTATGTATTTCTGCCAAAGAGAACTATGTGCATTAAGA